CGACTCGCGGACTTACTGGAGCAGCAACTTGTAACATGGATCTTTGCATCAGTCTGCGACTTCCTTGCTTCCCAGATCAGACCTCATTGCAGTTCGTGTACCGGACGCACCCTAGCACTTGGACCTTGACACTTGAACTACTACTACGCTTCTTGGACTTCTACCTATCGCAGCTGCTGAAGACCGCTGCAGACCCCCTTTCAAGACACTTGGACACTTTGTTCCTACATGAGATTCTGCTTCCGACTCCTTCGGACACACCAGCCTTCGCATCCTGAACGAACATTTTCATCTTTATTTTTCCTGACTTTGACAACCCTGTAGAACATCATTAGCAGATCCCTGTTTCCCAAACCATTGTCCCCCTTACCCACTATAACGTCAATAGAAATACCCTGTTTTCCTGAACACCGTTTCCCTTACCCAGTAGAACATCAATAGAAGTTCCCTCTTCCCTGAACTCTGTTCCCCCTTAACCTATAGCGAACCATGCAGTCCCCTTAGTCCATCAGTAGGACCACCCTGCTCCCTATCTTCCCTTTAGTTCATTTSTMGGACTACCCTGTTCCTTCCAACCCCCCCTAGTTCATCAGTAGGACAACTCTGTTCACCGGTACCAAACCCTGTTCCCTCTTACTCCCGCAGCCCATGCCACCCACATTATACCCCTCTTCCCTTTCGACTTGTTTACCAGTGATCGGCCCCGTCCCGTCCTTCACAGATTTCAGCATTGCTTCATGATTTTTGGCAGCCGGGATGTTGCCTTCTAGAGGGAGGGGATAGTGTTACGGACTTCGCCAGGGCTCGATCCCTGGTCTATCTTTTTGCTGTTTCAGCTGCCGTTTTCGGCCTGGCACCCTTTTTCCAACCCCTCCTTTGGTACCGTAGGATTTTGGACAACTGGCGCCATGCTGCAATTCGGGCGCCACTTTCAAATACTGCATTTTTCAGTTCTGCCCTCGGGGCCTTTGCAGAAATGCCCCTAGTACCGTACGTGTCACCGGTACTTATACCGGCTCCCCGTACGGTACGGGGACCAGTCTCGTACCAGTTCCCTGCTGCTGTACTCGTACTCAGTGTGACTTGCTGTTTTCGGCAATCGGGAATCCAAGACTTCGACTTTGTGCCTTGCCACTGTGTCTGCGTCCGATCCTCAGTCCGAGTCCGTCGTGTCAAGTGAGTGAGTGTGTGTGTGTGCTCTCACTCTCCCCCTCTCTCTCCTCTCCCTCGGCTCACCCTCAGCCTCACGCTCGTTACAAGGCGGGCTTGCAAAGGACTGCGATCAGGATTGATGAAGAAAAGCAAAGAGCAGCATTAGCAAACGAACAGACCCCATTGACAGAGCAGTCCAATTCACAGAGGTTGGGGAGGACAGTACTGCAGACAGCAGGGGAACCATCTTCTCCCCCTCCCAACTTCAGTTCGCTCCGGATGCACACGCCAACGACAAAGAAAACACAACACCACAACCATACTAACACCACTGAGGTAGAGATTGGATCATCCAGGTGGAGATGCACCAAGGGCTTGAAGGTGCTCGAAAATAAGAGGGCTTGAAGGTGCTCGACAATACCTCATTGCAACAAGGGTTGGAGAGGATGATGTGCACGCAGGACGCAGTCAAGTAGGCTATGTAAAAAAAAGAAAAAAAGGGGAAGGGTAGGAAGGCAGGGGAACTGCTTGAAGACTACCGTCTTCACCCGAATACAACGTACAGTTATTATTTCTGCCTTTTGACTCGAAGTTGCCCCAAATACAGCTATAATGACCGTATGATGTATTCAGGTGCAGACGTGGCAAGATTTGGGATAATATGACCGTGAAGTTGTTGCCTGGGCTATCTACAGCCGGGTTTCAGACCCCCGTCACTACCTCTCCCTAAAGGCAAATTTATAGGCTACACACCCACAAGGCAACACTGGGGTGTGTGTGTGTGTGTGTGTGTGTGTGTGTGTGTGTGTGAGAGAGAGAGAGAGAGAGAGAGAGAGACCTAGGGCTCGTGGTGCAGGAACTCCGCAGACCTGTAGGGCAAAGGTTGAGCTAGCTAACTTCAAGCCTGGGAGTTCATCAGGACTGTGCAGTGTGTGTATAAGACACTGTCATCTTCAAGGACAAAGGCAGAACTCAGAGCTTAAACAACTAGCACATGGCCCCAGGCAACTGGAGAAACCTGTTTTGAGCCTCTCTGAAAATTTAGGACTGCGCCATAGATAAAATGAATCGGCAGCGGGCGGCCTCCGAAAGGGGCCCACGGCCGATAGCTGGCATGTACTGGTGCTTTAAGTGTCAATTTTCATCATGAATGACTTACCATTTCAATTGGTCTCAGACCAGCTATGGTTCAAGGCAGCAGAGGCCTGTGTATGTGTGTGACACAGACAATGCTTACATCAGATACTACGCTGGGGATGGTCACCATCTGTATGACAGGGGTATGTGCAGGTAGCAGCCAAAGACGATTCCGGCAAAATGTCATGTCTGCACCACCATTCTTTAACTACAAGAAGAAAGATGCGGAAGCGGAAGCGGAAGCGGAAGCGGAAGCAGAAGAAGGAGAAGAAGAAGAAGGAGAAGAAGAAGAAGAAGAAGAAGAAGAAGAAGAAGAAGAAGAAGAAGAAGAAGAAGAAGAGGCTGAGGAGGAGGAGGAGGAGGAGGAGGAAGAGGAGGAGGAGGAAGAAGAAGAGTAAACGAATGAAAGGAGGAGGACATAGAATGCGCCGTACTTACAGGAAGCACTTGTTCTGGCTGGGAACGTTGTCATGGAGCACCCTTTCCACAATGCAGTCACACATGTCCCACCAACATGGCATTTAAGCTTCAAACTACTAGCGGCATCATCACAGAACCCCAGACAATGGGAATGAAAAGGTATTTGAGCGCATCCGTGGTGAACTTTCCCTTTCTCCATCCAAAAGAATTTTGCATACCAAAGGCATTTTTTTCAAAACCTAGAGAATATCTGGAGCACGTAACAGGATCACTGCAGAGACAAAAATTGGTAGAGGTGAAGACCCGGTAATGGCAGTCGGCCAGAAGGCCCTGACCAGTCCAGATGACTCCATACAGCGGCCAGAGCAACCCATTTGGCCCCCAGCTTCGGTGTATTTGATAGTGGCGGAATCTGCCAGGCACTTTCGCACTGGGCTATAGGCAGACTGGGCAACCCATTTGGCCCCCAGCTTCGGTGTATTTGATAGTGGCGGAATCTGCCAGGCACTTTCGCACTGGGCTATAGGCAGACTGGGCAACCAGACGTATACGACATCCCGCTGCAAGAATGTGATCGGAGGGGGGAAAAACGGAAAATGCAAAAGTGAGCGAAGCT